TCCAAAAAAATTACAAATTTAAAAATCGCTAATTTTCGAAATTTTTTCAATTTTTTTTACTAAAAACTGTTATAACTTTTTCAAAAATAAACGTATCAATATAATTCTTTTTTTTATAGATGCATGATGTCATTACCTATCATTTGATATATTTTTTTTGTAAATTTGACTTTTTGTCTGCCCACAGTAGTGGATTTAAAATGATAACTTTTTCACAAAAAATTAACTTTTTCAACTTAACTTTTGAAAATGTTACGGAAGGTCTGACACTTTTATATATATCTTAAATTAAAGCTAATGTAATGTACTTTAATTTGAAAAAAAAAAATTTGACCTCTGGACTTGTCTTCATGAAGAAAACGGCTATCGAATGCTATTTTTGTGTGAAAATTCTCGATTTTATAATTTACATTTTTTACTTTAAAGTGCTATAACTTTTTAAAAAATGTATGGATCAATACAATTTTTTCATGAGAAGTAGTATTTATATACATCTTTCATTGGATATACTTTTTTTTTAAATCAGACTATTTCCCTATATATGGGGGGGCTTCAAATATAAAAAATGCATATAGAAAGTAGAACTTTTTCAACTTAACTTTTGAAAGTGTTCCGGAAGGTCTGACACTTTTATATATATCTTAAATTAAAGCTAATGTAATATACTTTAATTTGAAAAAAAAAAATTTGACCTCTGGACTTGTCTTCATGGTGAAAACGGCTACCGAATGCTATTTTTGTGTGAAAATTTTCGATTTTATAATTTACATTTTTTACTTTAAAGTGCTATAACTTTTTAAAAAATGTATGGATCAATACAATTTTTTCATGAGAAGTAGTATTTATATACATCTTTCATTGGATATACTTTTTTTTTAAATCAGACTATTTCCCTAAATATGGGAGGGCTTCAAATATAAAAAATGCATATAAAAAGTAGAACTTTTTCAATTTAACTTTTGAAAGTGTTCCGGAAGGTCTGACACTTTTATATATATCTTAAATTAAAGCTAATGTAATATACTTTAATGTAAAAAAAAAAATTTGACCTCTGGACTTGTCTTCACGGCGTAAATGGCTACCGAATGCTATTTTCGTGTGAAAATTCTCGATTTTATTATTGATATTATATTTAACTTTATAATGCTATAACTTATTGAAAAGTTTATGGATCCACACAATTTTTTTATGAGAAATGATATTTTTTAATAAACCCTTTTTCATTCGACATACTTTATCTTAATCGAGATATTAATAAGGAACCAGCAGATCAAGTAGCTTTTGGAATAAAACACCAATTTTTTTAAAATTAAACACTATCTAAAGATTTGCATCGAAGCGTTTATTTTTGATAGTGATTTTAATCACTGTCAGATATCATTATACTTGATCCAACTATGCCACGTCACCACTGTGCCGCGACCCCCTTGTGCTGGGTTGTTTTTTTTATTTTAAAGTTACAAAAGACAGGTTCTGGTGTTAGAATTGGTAAAATATTTTCATTTTAAAATTAGTTTTTATTTAAATACCTTCGAGCAATAAAATAATATTTATAAAAAAAAGTTAATTTTTAGTTTGATTATCAAAATAAGTATTTTTTAAATTTTTTTTGATCTTCAAAAATTTACAAAAATTGCACATTAAGAAAAGTCAAACAAAAAAAAATGTAAATTCTTCATTATACAAACTAAATATAAAATTAAATTAAATTAAATAAAAAGATATTATTAATTTTTAATTTATCTACCTTAATCAAAAACGTGTATTTATTTTAACAAAAGTATATACCTACTCACACATATTTTTTTATAGTTTATTGTAGTAATTAATAATTACAATGAATACATAATTTTGTTTTGCACATAATGACATGTATAGGATTCGATTATCTTTTTGTAAAAATATTATATACAGGTTTTCTTATCACATATTTGAAATTAGGTCGTAAAATTAGTTTAGACAAATATATATATTTTAAATTTTAAAAAAAACCCAGCACAGGGGGGTCGCGGCACAGTTGTGACGTGGTATAGTTGGATCAAGTATAATGATATCTGACAGTGATTAAAATCACTATCAAAAATAAACGCTTCGATGCAAATCTTTAGATAGTGTTTAATTTTAAAAAAATTGGTGTTTTATTCCAAAAGCTACTTGATCTGCTGGTTCCTTATTAATATCTCGATTAAGATAAAGTATGTCGAATGAAAAAGGGTTTATTAAAAAATATTATTTCTCATAAAAAAATTGTGTGTATCCATAAACTTTTCAATAAGTTATAGCATTATAAAGTTAAATNATAAACTTTTCAATAAGTTATAGCATTATAATGTTAAATATAATATCAATAATAAAATCGAGAATTTTTACACGAAAATAGCATTCGGTAGCCGTTTTCGCCGTGAAGACAAGTCCAGAGGTCAAATTTTTTTTTTTCAAATTAAAGTATATTACATTAGCTTTAATTTAAGATATATATAAAAGTGTCAGACCTTCCGGAACATTTTCAAAAGTTATGTTGAAAAAGTAAATTTTTTGTGAAAAAGTTGTCATTTTAAATCCCCCCCTGTGGGCAGGTTAATTGTCAGATTTACAAAAAAAATATACCAAATGATAAGTAAAGACATCAAGCATCTATATAAAAAAAATTTATATTGATAAGTTCATTTTTGAAAAAGTTAGAGCATTATTAAGTTAAAAATATTAAAAAAAATTATTTTACAACAATCGTAATTGTTTATTAACTTTGATGTCAACTTTCACCACGAAACAAGTCCAGAGGTCAAATTTTTTTTTTTCAAATTAAAGTATATTACATAAGCTTTAATTTAAGATATATATAAAAGTGTCAGACCTTCCGGAACACTTTCAAAAGTTAAATTTCAAAAGTTCTACTTTCTATATGCATTTTTTATATTTGAAGCCCCCCCATATATAGGGAAATAGTTTGATTTAAAAAAAAAGTATATCCAATGAAAGATGTATATAAATACTACTTCTCATGAAAAAATTGTATTGATCCATACATTTTTTAAAAAGTTATAGCACTTTAAAGTAAAAAATGTAAATTATAAAATCGAGAATTTTCACACAAAAATAGCATTCGGTAGCCGTTTTCACCATGAAGACAAGTCCAGAGGTCAAATTTTTTTTTTTCAAATTAAAGTATATTACATAAGCTTTAATTTAAGATATATATAAAAGTGTCAGACCTTCCGGAACACTTTCAAAAGTTAAGTTGAAAAAGTTCTACTTTCTATATGCATTTTTTATATTTGAAGCCCCCCCATATATAGGGAAATAGTCTGATTTAAAAAAAAAGTATATCCAATGAAAGATGTATATAAATACTACTTCTCATGAAAAAATTGTATTGATCCATACATTTTTTAAAAAGTTATAGCACTTTAAAGTAAAAAATGTAAATTATAAAATCGAGAATTTTCACACAAAAATTGCATTCGGTAGCCGTTTTCACCATGAAGACAAGTCCAGGGGTCAAATTTTTTTTTTCAAATTAAAGTACATTACATTAACTTTAATTTAAAATATATATAAAAGTGTCAGACCTTCCGGAACATTTTCAAAAGTTAAGTTGAAAAAGTTAATTTTTTGTGAAAAAGTTGTCATTTTAAATCCCCCCCTGTGGGCNTTTGTGAAAAAGTTGTCATTTTAAATCCACTACTGTGGGCAGAAAAAAGGTCAAATTTACAAAAAAAATAAACCAAATAATAGGTAAAGACATCAAGCATCTATAAAAAAAAAATTATATTGATATGTTCATTTTTAAAAAAGTTACGGCAGTTTTTAGTAAAAAAAATTGAAAAAATTTCGAAAATTAGCGATTTTTAAATTTGTAATTTTTTNAATTTTCAAAAATTAGCGATTTTTAAATTGTAATTTTTTTGGAGGTTTCCCCCATTTATAGGGAACGAGGGAAATTTTTTCAATTTTGAAGGGTAATGTCTTCGACTAGATACGATTTGTGATCTTTTGACGTATCGTTGAAAGAAATCCGTTCAGTGAGAGCTGAGAAAAAGTGGTAACAGACACAAAAAAAAATAAAAAAAAAAACATATCTTAGTAAAACCAATACCTTCTCAGCTTCGCATCGAAGCTAAAATTTAGCATAACCATTTTATAATTTACCAAAGATAAACTTTGTTAAAACAATATATTGTTAATGTTTATTAGTAAATGATCTGTTCATTTTCAAGTTTGTAAAAATTTTAATTTTTCATCATATCAATTATATCTTTTATAATTCTATAACTAATTCTAGTTATGAATGTGTTAAAACTTTCATGGATTGTCTTGTTGCTTGAAGTTCTTGAGGATATATCCATGTTTACAGTTGAGTTCTGACGTTTCGGACTCATTGCAGAGTCCATCTTCAGAGTGATGGTTGCTAGTCGGTGGCTGCAACTATACTGTATAGTCTATACTGTATACTGTATTTTCTTAATTTCACATTTACTTAATTCAATTATTATTATCATAAATTAATACTAAATATATCTTATAATATAAGTATTATATTACTACTCCAATTTTTAAGCTCAATTACAGGCGCATATTCAGATAACTTTCATTGAAATAGTTACATATTTATAACCAAATTTAGCGTAAAAAGAATTCATTTTCTTTTAACTTTTTTAATGCATATCTCAATGTTTTATATCGTAAAAGAAACACATGAAAAATTCAAATTTTGACAAACTTTGAAGTACTGTAGATAATTTACTAATGAATATGAACAAGATATTTTTGTATCAACTTTTTGCTATATTGAAATTTTTTTTTAAAAAAATTTTATAGTCTTAACGTATAACAATAATTTAAAAAATAAGTTTAACGCAAACATTGACTGAATCAAAAGTTATTAAAGATGTCAAAAAATACAGAGTATACTGGTATATAGGGTGATTTTTTTTATCATAAACCACTCAATTATTCATAGAAAGACATTTTTTTTTTTTTTTTTTATACTTTTAGTTATATATTATTCTTGAATAATTAGCTATGTATTATTTTTTAAGTTCATCCCTTATACTTTTAAGGGTGATAACTTTATTTTTTCAAATGAGAGTACATATTTTGAATTTAATAAAATGTTTGAGGTATTATTTTAATATCAAATGGCATTTAAATGTTTACATAATTTTTCTCGTTTATTAGACATAAAACTTAAAAGTTTCAATTTTTTAAGTATATATATGTTTATATTATACGAGGGATTACAAATACAGATAGTGAATTGTTTTATATAATATCGTTATCACAGATATGGAGCGTTTATTGTCAGATATAACTATCGACAAATATGTTTTCTGTACTGCCAGTTGGTGTATTTATAAATGTTAACTCACAAAACTGTGCTTTACAAACACACTTTAAGCATATTTTTTGATAAAGTCATAATTGACAATAAATGCTGCGTATCTGGGAATAGCGAGGTCATAAAAAAACAATTAGCTATCTGTTCTTGTAATCCCTCATATATTATCTCAAAAATTAAAACTTAAAAGTTTTATATACAATAAAATGAAAAAATTTGAATCGAAATATAACTTTAAATTTATTTTTTCGTCATTTGAAGTTGAATTTTACAGAAGTTTATTTTAAAAATTGTAATTTTTTGGAGGATTTTCCACATTTAATAATTGTTTAATAATTTAATTGAATAGAGTCTTAAACTAGATACAATTTGTAATCTTTTGGCGTATTGAAAGAAATTGGCTCCTGTAAAACTTTAGGAATAGTGGTGACAGACACAAAAAAAAGTAAATAATAACACATTATGATCAAATTAATACCTTCTCAGCTTTTCATTGACGCTCAAATGTATTAACCATTTAATAAAAAATATAGCCTTGCATTATCATTTTTTTATTTAAATAATATAAATAGCAAACGGTACTTTATACTCTTCAATTATTTTTTCAAGTTAATGTAATAAGTTATAAGGCTGATTGATTTCAATTCTAAAATCTTTTCAGTCTTAAAATGTAACAACTTTTTATTCAATTTTATATCTAAATGTATTCACTTTTAGATAAGAAAATCAAAATGCAAATATACAAGATAGTTTTGTTTTCCACATTCATGTTTACTGTAATAATATAATATTTATATATTTAACAATAAAACTATATTTATTTTATATACAAAATAAAATATCTTGGGGATTATAGTTATTAAATAAAACTTATGCGACGTCATCAAATTGGGTTGTTACAAAGTTAGAAGAAGATCCAGACATTGTAGATGAACCGTCCAATAATAATTCAGGTAATATATAACACTTACATAAATTGTTTATCTCAGCTATATATTACTAAAGATGACTATATTAAATTTTCATTAAACATACATATTGCTACTACTTGTTTATCAATTATTTGTTTTTGAAGAATACCTTCTTAAAAGAGGTTTGGGATGGACAGTAAATAAAATGAAATACGATTGGGCATGTGTAACGCGCATGCACATTAACATCTCGTATATTAAATGAAAACTGCCAGCTAAATTTCATTTTATTTTGTTGGATTTAATCTTAAAAAAATAATTCATATTTTACACTTATGCACTATATCGACTATTAATATAATTGAAAAAAAATTTGGGGGCATAATAATTTTGCTCCTAAATATTTTTTTATTCATTAATATTTCATGTGAAAAACAGTACTTTTACAAATATACAAATTGTGGCTAAAATATTAATAGTAGAAAAAACTGGGGGCATATTCGGAAGTGTCGAAAAACTTACTACATAAAATTTTTTTTAAATATTCCACAACTCAAATTTTATCGAGCTGTAATAAATCAGATTTTTATGAAATATTTCAGATTCGTTATCGAAATTAAAATATAAGACAACTGAATTATTACATAGTAAACAACTTTTTTTATATTTAACTTTTGAGCTAAATTTAATTTCCTAGGCATATATTTATTATCATTTTATTCTTTAGAAGTTAATATTAATAATACAAAGACATTAGCAAATAATATAGCAAATAGGACTAAAAAAGGTGAGATATGACCACTAGAATTAACACGTTTCAATATGTAAATTGAAATTATAGCTATTATAAATTTATCACGACTTATAATAACAATATAACTGAATATTTTAGCTTTAAGCAATGAAAGTGCACAAAAGGTGAAAACTGGAATTAAAAATGCAGTCAACTCAACCACAAATTACGTTATACAAAAAAGTAAAGGTCAAGAAAAATAATCTTTCAAATAAAAAGTTAAATTATTAATTATATATATTATTTAAGGAACGTAAGAAATGTATCAATTAATATAACATTACATAATATTAATATTTTAATAAATATTACTATTACGATATATTTGAATAAATTAATTCATAAATCTTAATATGTATAAATACTATTTACACATATTTACTAAAAAAGTAAACGTTAGAAATGATATATTAAATATAAAGTTAAATTATTACTTTTGTAAATTATTTAAAGACTATGTTAAATATGTATCAGCTAATATAATACTACGTTATATTGATATTTTTATAAATATTACTATTAAAATTTATTTAATATTCTTTATTACCATAAAAATGTTCAATGTGTGTAAATTATTATTTCCATTCTTATTGTTTTAATAAAATAATATCTTTCAAAGCAATTCAGCATAGGCGCAGTCTGAGTGGATACTTAACAGGATGAAACCATCCAAATGCTAATAGTTACTTAATAAAAATACGTTTAAACAGTTACAAGTAATTTTTTTTTAGTCAAAGAAAAAGTTCAATTAGATTTCCAATATTTGTTCAAACTGCGCCGATGCAATATACCGAAAACACTTTTACTGTAGCTAGTCTCAAATGTATATAAAAACATACAAATCACCACTTTAAAGAATCTTATTGAGATTTTTTTAATAATGTTAATAAAGATATACATATTTCAATTTATCACTATTATTATTTATTGAATAATTCCAAAATGGCAATCAGGATAGATTACAAGCTAAAAGTAAACACAAAGGTAATCTAAATACAACACAAAGTGATCAGTTATACATCCTTCTATTTCTCGAATTTAACATACAAGGAGGGTGATGGTCCTCTTTTACATGTTAGAGGGTCAAAGATAGTTCTTGGCTAAGCCAATGATGGAAGTATACAACACAAAGTGTTATATTAAAATAACTAAATTTATAAATATAATACTTCATCGAATTGAAAATTATGAATTATTCATCATGGCGTAAATAGGAAAATAATAATTTAAATAGCTTAGTACCTAATTTTAAATGATATGTTTAAAATTAATACATGTATTATGTACTTACTCATTCTATTCTACTATAATTACGTGTACAAGGCAACTTATTTAAAATCGCTTTTTATATCATAAAAATTATTTTTCATAAAAAAAAATGGAAATAAAAATTATAACAACACAACAAACAGTAATACTTTACACCAAAATAACATTTTTTTTAACTTCAATATAGAAAGCAAGGTGTCGAAACAACATTTTTTTTTTTTTTAAGTACATCACGTAACATAAGATTTAATTTAACATATGTTTAAAGCTCTGAGTATTTCCAAAACAATTTAAAAAGTTAAGTTGAACATTTTTTACTTTTTGTACGTATGTTTCAAGTTTGAACTCTCTCTGTATAAGGGAAAATGGTCTGATTTTTAAAAAAATACGTCAAATAAGAGGAAAATATTTAAAATACTTCTAAAAAATCATAATAATAATAATGCTGACATAAATACAACACAAAGTAATACATCAATATAACTAACTTTATAAATATAACACTTGATTCAAATGAAGATTATGTGTTATTGATAATACATAATGTTGCTAGTTGAATTTAACCGGCAAAATTAGGGAAATAATTACTTAAATGTATTATACAATTTGATAGTGAGTTGCTTGTATATATAGGTTTTGAGTAATAGGATTAATATCATATCAATTAAAACATAGAAAATTATTTTTAATTTGTAGAAGGAACATAAAAATTAATTTAGCTTAATACTGTTAATATTACTTTAATATTTTTAAGCATTACTATTTAAGACACAAAATAGCTTAGTATCTAATTTGAAATTGTTCCTTAATATACACTCATTATTTCTACAATATATACGAGTGCAAGGAACTTTATTTATAACCTGTCTTTATGTCACAGAAAAAGGATTTTTATAAAACTTCAAAATTACTTTTGAAAAACTTAAAAATTAAATTTAGTGATCATAATCAATATCAAATACCTTAAAAAATATATATATTATAAATGTAAAAAGGTATTATTCATATAAAAAAATACCTTTACTATTACGAATTATACAAACTACGCATAATAATAAATAACTTGTTTAAATAACACATAATTATATAATTAATTTTATCTTTTTTAAGTAAAAAAAATTAGTTAATCACTGGTGACGTCACTCTATTTAAAATTTATAAATCCTACCAATTTTTATAAGCAACACAACTAACTTAAAAATTAAAAATAATATAATTTTTTAGCATCATGGTAATCGATAGAAAATATTAGACCTTAAATTTTAAGGTTCAATATTTTCCCTGGATTTTAATCAGACTTAATTTAATCACATCAACGATAGTTTATTCCCAAGAAAGACCGATTTTACTTATTGTTCCATTATTATAATAAAAAAAAACAATAAATACTTTTAGTTAAAATTATTTAATAAAGTCGTTTTTAAAAATTAAATGTTAACAGATTCAAAAAGTACTAGTTCAAAGTTTTTATCGACCAGTCATTTTTTTAATTAAATCATTTTTTATTTCTATAAACTAAATAAATATTTATTTTACCATTTAAAAATGATGACACCCGTATAAGGTATAAGGGATGTATTAGAAATATACTTAATAATTAATAAATCGAGAAGTATATAAAATTTTTAAACACTAAAAATAGTTTTTATGAGATATGGAGTGGCTAATATTACAAGAATCAATGTGTATAAAAAAAATTAATAAAAAAATGATATCTGACAGTGATTAAAATCACAATAATAAATAACGCTTGATGTAAATCTGTAGTGTTTAATAGCTTTGTTACTAATTTTACGATATATACGGTCTATTCGAGTCGTATAGTGATTAAAGTTGCTTCAAATAGTCTAAAACTTTTGAAAAAAAATTGATGACATTAGAATTTTAAATGTTAAATGTCAGTAGTATTATACTACTATATATAATATATATAATTTCAAAATTTTATTACTTTAATTTTATTTTTAATTTAAAAATTAAAATAGGTGATATAAATAAACATTTCAAATTTTATCTTCTCAACTTTGTATCAATGCTAAAATATAACTTATCATTATCATTAGGAAATATTTAGTTGAAATTATGGGATATCATAATCATTTTGATTTGAAAAACATTTTAGTAAAACATGTTTTACTCCATTAAAATATAGAAACATGTAGATGAAGTACTGAATAAAAAAAAAATTCAATCTTTGGTAAAAACTTAATAGCTATATTATTTTCGTCAGTAAAATTTGGTAGATCATAATTAATAATAGAATAGTAATAAACATATTACTATCGGATCACAAAATCTGAAAATAATAATAAACGGTTTTTTGCAAATTGAAATATTAAGAAAACTTAACAGATCATTTATAATAATCATTTTTTTTTTTTTTAATAAAAATTGATCACTTGTGGATAATATTTTAAATTATAAAGTAGTAATTTAAACTATAAAGCCATAAAATATATATTTCCCTTGTATACCCCTAGTGATCTTATCATCTAATAATAATCACCTAGTCGATTGTCACATTTTACCAGTTTACACAATTTAAAAAATATATTTTTCTGCGGGTAAAATCCCATTTAGTTCAATTATTGAGAGGATGGCGCAGTGGGAGTCGGTGAGTTTCGGTTTTTCATCGTCATGGCGCGCGACCTTCCCTAATCGATTATACTGTTGGGGTAGTGAGTTAATCGCCAAATGATTAAATGAGGGCCATCTATGAGCTCTTTATTGTGAAGGTGACATTTGAGGCCGACGCAATTGAACATTCCTTATCCAAACCTCAGACAAATTAATGACAAACGTTTCATGTACAAAAAATAAATAAATACCGTTGTTCATGGGCCTTTGTGCATTTTAAGAACAAATTTATCGACCGACAGTAACATACAGCAGCAATACGTTTAAGATAAAGCAAATAATGTCCATGATTCTACTACAGCCATGTTACATCCGTAGCATACAAGAACGCGAGCGAAGACGTTAGCCACCACCACACACACACTACTCCAACAGTAAAACCGGTTAGGGCAGGTCGTGCCATGACAATGAAAAACCGAACTCACCGACTGCTACCGCGCCATCCTCCTTTTGATAACAGAACGCCCCACTTATATTAAGTTCTTTGAAATTTATTACGTTTGTAATTAGTTTTATGGTTTTAATGATTATTTCGATTCAATAGGGTGGCTTAATAATACTTTTGTCCTTCCATATTTTGACGTAGGGAGTGGCGCAATTGTCCCTGTCTCTAATGGCGCTATTGTACGATTTGATGGAATTAAGAGTTTTGGAATAGCTATAAAAATTTTTTGAAAATACCATTTCCAAAAATGTTAAGTTTAAAATATAAAACTACTAGTTTAATTGAGCATCTAACGACATCTAAACATCTTTAGATATTGTAAAACTTCAATAAAAGAGTAAGTATTGATTTAAATGAGTCATCAAGTAAAGTTATAACCAATATTGCTTATATAAATAACCCAGTCTTAAAAAACAAATGTTCAAAAATCAGAAAATAAGAGTTATTTTCATTGAAATAAAATTATATTCCAATTTATACTAGATGATGAAATTTTAGTATGGTTAATTTTATTTTACCTATAAAAATTTATAGTTTTAATGAATTTAGTTATAAAAACAACTCTTTGTTTTGATTTTGTAGACTTAAGTCCCTTTACCCAAATACTAAGGATATATTAAAAAAGTTTTAACGGAAAGCAAAAAAAAATATATGTGGAGAATCTACCATTGAAATTTTTGCTAACCACTTTTACTAATTATATGCTCGAAATTTAATCACAAAATTTTCTATCAGCGTATCCTTTTCAATAGAAAGAAATCGTGTTCTCATCCCTTCATTTAAATACTGCCAAACGCCATGAAATTATTTCACAACAGGTAGTAATTTATTATGTCTATTTATTTTTGAATCATTATAACGTTATAATGATTAAAAAATATATGTCATGGATAGTTCTAATTAGCCATCAAATATACAAAGCAAAAATTGACTAGATTTAAAAACCGTGTTTAAATATTGTAAATGGCTCATCTCCACCAATAAAATTGGTTCATAGTAAAAATTGAAAAGTATAAAAATATATATATTATATTTTTAGTTAGAGCATAATATAACAATTATATATCAAAAGTTTATAAATAATTCAATGCAATAAATATAATATGTATGCTAAGATGGTGTTATTTTTTTTTGGTTTATAATCTATCGTTAATTTCTTCGAAGAGGAAAATTAATTTATTTATTCTCGATGATAATAAATTTATTATAACCATTTTTTTATTGAGAACGATAGTTTTTTCGTTGTCATAAAGAATCACTTATCAGAAAAATTGACCCATTAATTAAAAATCGAATCAAAAACAGTACATATCAGGAACGGTTATCTTATCAATGTTATTATAAAGTCTCTCAAATCACTGGAGATTTTAATATAGTAAAAATAACGAATTACTCTTTCCTACAATAAGTATAGTATAAACAAGTAGTGTTAAAATCTTAGAAATAGATAATATGATGTCGTAACATAAAACAAAAAGTAGAACAAACCATATATAGAAAAGGTAGTAGAGTAGCGTGTACGACAATGATGTTGAGTCTGCTGCCTGGGTATTCACGT